ATGGCATTTCTTGAGGTCACTTGGCGCGTATGGGCCTCAGGTTACTCCTCTGTATATATCTCAGGCTCAGGGTGGCAAAAAGAAGAAGTAAATATTCAGAGAAAGAAGAGGGTTCATTAACCACCCAGGCAAGTTAAAATTTTTGCTGGTATTGCTACAAGAAAGGCTGTCACAGAAAAATAAACAAAGATGGGTGCTAGTGAATAAGGTAATAAATTTAGAACTAAAAACTCAAAGTTCTTCAGATCAGTGTTTCTCAAACTTATTAATGGATTGTAAAATCAATGTACAAGCTCATGACTAGCATTAGCAACAACAAAGTACAGAGGACAGGAGAATACTACATGTAAGAAGAAAAATGTCTATGAAATTTCTGTCCCAGCTATACACATGGGAGTCCTGGGCCACAATGTAATATGTATTTCTTACAGTGGGAGATGATCTATAAAAGGCAGCAGACAACCCAGCCCCTTTCCTCTGGCTCTGATCACTCCCAGGAAGGGACCGTTTGGGACACACAGCTCAGAAGGGATGTTCAGAACTGGAAGGAATCTTAGACTTCTACCTGATGCAGAATCTGTCTCTGAACAGCTCCAGCTTTGTAGCTTCTGTCTGAATAAGCAGGTCCTGGCCAGCTCACTAACTTTCAAGACAGCCCATGTCATGGTGGACAATTATGACTGACAGAAAATTCTTTCTTACATTAAATGGAAATCTACCTCCCTGTAGATGTCTCTAGAACTACACAGTTAAGTGAGCCCTGGTTAGTCACCATGGAACTGTTAGGAGTATTAACAGGGCAACATGGGGAGCTAACAGAGTCCAATACAGGAGTAAGTTCTTAGTAGATGCTATTCTCATTTCTGGGAGTCCTTCAAACAAACACCTGGAGACACCTCTCATCTCACCCAGGTTCCTCTTTTTTTAAGCTAAGCATCCCCAAGACATCAAATGATTAATTTTAGACCCTTTTATATTGAGATATGTCAGTGTTCCTCTTAAAGTCTGAGCAGAACAATTCAGAAATATTGGAGAGTAAAACTAGGTATCAATTCCTTCAACCTGGTCTAGACATTTCTACCATGATCCCTCTGAGGACAGCTCATGAGGGATACTAGTGAGACAGCCTAAACCTGCCTGCTGCACAGCCAGCACTTCCTGGGTCTTCAGTAGTGTTATAGGATTTGACATTTGTTCCAGCTACTTCACCATGCTAACCACAGCCAATTCATTTCCTCCTGCCAAGACTGTTTCAATCTTGAATGTTTGGGCTATATTCCTCTGCAAATTTTAGGACATAATTTCCATGAATCCAAATATAGGAACTGAGAATGGGCTGTAGAAAATACCTAACTGGCTCTTCCACTCAATTCAGAATCTCTCCTATATCGTCCACAGATCTTATGAACTTGTTCCTCAAATAAAAAACAAAACAATGACAATATTTACTTTTCTTATATTGAGAGAAAATTAACTTGATACAAATATAAGCCTGTAAATGCTAGGCCTTTAACAAAGTTTATTTGAATAATAAAGTAGAGAAGAAAACCTCTTTTGGAAATCGAACTTCAATAATCTTGCTTACTTAGGTACTAAGAAACTGAGGTATGAAAAGCAAATATATAAAAATATATTTACCTTGTGTTCATTTGCTTCTTTGACTACTATCCTGTTTATATTATAAAGTCTCAAAATTCACTAGATTTGTAGTGTTAAAAAAATTAAAAGCACAATTAGTTATAGTTGAATACTTAAAAGAGTATTTCATCACAATAGAAGAATGACCCCAGATACACACTTTAAAAAAAAAATACCAGCCTATTCTTTTTGTTAATCCTTACCCGAGGATATTTTTTCCATTGGGATCAAACTTGCTATCCAGGTACGTGCCCTTGACCAGAAACTGAACACAAGACCCTTTGGAGTGAGGGTCAACACTCTAACCACTGAGCCACACAGACCAGGGCAAGGTACCCAGAGTTCTGATTGACTTCTGATTTAAGTCAATAGCGCCAAGCCCTGGGTAACCCCTCAGAGGTGGTGAGGGAGGTGGCAGTGCTTTCACCCCTAGGGAGCTGCAATCCACGCACTGTGGGTGGAAACCTAGGCCTACCAGGTGGCACCACATACCTGCCCTTATATCTGGCCAGTACTGCTTCATCTTGCTTACAGATTTTCACAAGTGACTAGACTGGGTCAAGGTCTTGCTTAAATCACAACACAAGTTCAGTATAAAAATGTCAGAAAAGTAAACTAATTAATAGAAGACTATCCTACAAATGAATGAAGTTACCTAGAAAATTAAAAGGGAGCTATTAAATTGAAAAGGCAATCTCATTTTGGTTGTAAGTTTTTGGTAAAGGCAAAAAGGAAGACAGATTTGAAAAAATTCATTAATAAAGAATACTTATACATTTATTTGCTAAAATAAACTTTTCTCTGGAATTAAAATTTTTTCATCAACATTTTGGGGAGACAATGAGTGACTATTGTCTTCTACAATGAAAAAGGCTTTTTAAAAAAAATTAATTTACTTTGTTACAGATGTTTCTCATTTTTCCACCATTGACACTCTCCTCGGTTATGCATACATGATTATAAGTTCTATGGTTTATCTCCTCCCTCCTATCCCCACCCCTGAAAAAGGCTTTTTAAGAAATTAATTCATGTTATAAAAAAATGAACACATAAAAGCACAATAGGAGAGAAAAACACTGTCTAAATTAAGATAATCACCATTAATATTTTGGTGACTATCTTTCATGCATTCCCCCATACTCTCTCACACTCTCTCAATCTCTCTTTAAATGGGATCATGAAAATCATCTTTCAGGGTGGTTTTGATTGAAAACACAGAAATAATATTCAAATGAATAATTGCAGTTTCAAGGCTCATGGGAGAAGGATTGAACTAAGACATGGATCTAAGATCTATGACTTAGATTCTGAGTCATGCAGGCATTTATGCATGGAATTGAAATATGTCTCAGGTACTCTGATTTCTAATAGGTAAATGCCTACTGGGCATTCGCTAAAATATCTGATGCATGAACTGAGGATCTGGCAGATTCTGATTGGCAGCAAGGTGACCATTAAATTACTTAAAATTTTTTCTAAAAGTGCCAATTTGCTGTGATTGGTTTTCACTCATTTGTGAAATCATCTAGTCTGATGGGTCAGTATGGGAGAAAGCAAAAGAGATGATGGAAGGTGAAATAAACATTTCCCTCCAAACTATGGTTTGAATCAAAGGCACTTACAGAGCTTTTATCACTCTGTAATCTATTTCATGAAAGAAAAGTAAATTCATTTGCCAAATGATAAAGGCAGATGGCTAAAAATCTCAGTGGGCTAGCTCTCTCTACAGAGCACACCCTCACCTTTTCTCACCCCCTTCCCTCAGTTTTCCTGCCTTTCTTTCTCCAAAGCTCCAAAGGATCTTCTTTTGCCTCTGTAACTTATTTCCCGAGCCCATTTCTTCTACAGCTCACTTCTACCTCTGTGACTTTCTAAATAAACAACAACAAAAAAACCCTCAGCAGAAGTGGTTGGCTAACATTTATTGAGCACTTATTATGCACAAGGCACTGTGCTAAACACTTTATATGCTAATTCTCACAATAACCCTATGAAGCATTCCTACCATTATCCCTGTTTTATGGATGACTAAAATGAACTTCAGATAAATATAACTTCCCAGCTCTCACAAGTTAAAAATGGAGAAGCAGGAATCATATCCAGGTATGTCTGCCTCTAGAATCTGAGCAGTTAACATTGTGCTGTGTTGAAGTAAAAGTGCACCAGGTGGGCCCAACACAACAGCCGCTGATGACCTGTTGGATGAGGCTGAGACTACACATCTGAAGATTGAAGAATGCCAACTGACCATGGCATCCAACACGCCATCGTTCAGGGATGCCCAGGGCACTCCCTACAAGCATCTAGCCAATAGATCAGGTGAGAGGTAATAAAATCATCTCACTAAGGTGGAGATTGCTTATCCATAGTTTCTATGGTTGAACAATGAGCATTTAATTTAGTCAATTACATGAGCTTGGTTGATTATGAAAGTGGCAGACATACTTGAATAGACAGCATGTAAATTCCATCTTTACCATTTATGTTCAAATTTGGGCACTGTCCCAGTGACGCTTTCATCTTGAATTAGTTTGCCTGAATACTGGTAAATGACTGAATATTATCCAGTAAATGCCCCAAATTAAAAACAAAACAAACAGAACCAAAACCCTTTTCTATATCTTACTCCTGTGGAAAGCTAATGCTGGAAAAATCACTGGATTAAATTGGACCTTAAAAGTCATCTAGCCCAATTTTCTGTCCTCTGAAAAACCTCTCACCTACAGCAGCTTTGACAAGTGACATCTAGCTTCCTAGTCCTGGGCACTTCCCACTCTCCACAGCAAACCACCTTACTGGTAAGTAGCCTCACTGACAGATCTTTTTCCTTTTACTGAGGTGAAATTTGCCTTCCTATAACCTACCCTTTGGTTCTCAGTTTGCCCTATCGAAATGTAGTTTACAATTACCCCCCAACCCCCAACAGTCTTCCCAACTGTTCCTTGACCTTCAGCCAGGGTACCAGTGCTCCACCAAAAGCTCAGTACATTAGAGTCCAGGTAAAGACCGATAGGCACATAGTAAAGGAGGATGTTCCTGTCAGTGATCAGGACACAAACATGTTTTATCCTATAACTGTACTGGTTCCTCTGGCATTTACATTACATTATTGATTGACTCTAAACTTGTGACTAATGAAAGCCCCTGGATTTTTTCTCAAGTGAGCTATTGTTGCTGAGTGAGCAAGGTGAACTCCCAGTCTGAGTCACTGTTCATGAAATAAATTGTTTGCTAGGTATGACCCCATTATAATCAGTATGAAACTGGTAAAAGCCAATTCTCACCATCTTTATGAAAATTACTCTCCATATTTTCTTGGGATCGTCTGGCACATGCAATGCAAAAAACAATTTGTTACTTACTCATTAGTATTCAAGCTAGCTGTGGCTCTGATGATCATGTAGCAGAGTGTGAGAGCACTGAGGAGGCCAAAACTGGCAATAATAAACCATTCTTCTGTTGACAAAGGAAAGGGAGGAAATCACTCTGGGGAGAATGCTTAAGTCAAATCGATGTCAACATTTCCCTCAAAAACAACGACGCAGACGTCAACGAAGGTGTTAGGCCCAAACTGGCCCAAGGAAGTGAAGCAGGAGGAGGTTTGCCAGAGAGCTACTAACTGGAGAAGGTTAGTGGAAAGAGTGGTGAAAGCTGCAAGGGAGAGAGGAAAGCACAGCCCAAACGTTTCTTCCAGTTCAGGTCCTGAGGTCTGTGAGGAGTATGGCCATCAAAAACTGTGTAGTGAAAATATGTATATAAAATGGCATATGGACATAGTTTTTTTAAGTTGTTAAATTAAGTGACAGTAAAGTGGACTAGCCATACATATAACCTTTCCTTCTTCATTTGGTCACTTTTGCATGGTTGTCATTCATTCTTAGAGAATAGCTTAGAAATATGGAGCAGTGCTTCCCAAAGGTCTTGTGGGCGTATCAAGCAGTTCACAGGCTGGCCTTCCACAGCATTCACTTCTACCTCTTTTCTCTTATGCATGGGTTATAGTCTTTACTTAAAAAGCACATTTTATTGGTGTCTCCAAAAAAGGACTACCTTTCACAACCCCACTGCTGGGAAGCAGCACTGGCTGTTCTGGCTCTGTCAAGCACTAGCAGGAAGGGTAGGTGATTCACAAGATACTTGGCCCATAAAGAGCTGAAAACCTCTGGTACATAGAACTCTTAGAAATTTTTATCTAGTCTTGCTCTAGATCCAGGAAGTCAGTTTATATTTTCCCTTAACTTTTCAGTCTCTATTGTAACATTCCAAAAACAGTATTTACTGAGAACCTTGAAAATAACCTGAGAACCAATTTAACATCCGAAAAGTTTGACCTCTAAAATGTTTCCTAGAGTATACACTAACTAGGGATGACTTAATAAAGTGTTACACAGTGAAATTCCCCATATATATGCAATAAGGCAGGCAGAAGAGATTCATGCTTGAAATGACAGCTGTTCACATGCAAAAGCTGTGTGTAACATGAGTGTTTCTCAATCTGGTTTTCATGAATCTTACAACTATGCAAAATAGTGTGTGCCTACGAATTTTTCTAGAAAAAGGCAATTCTACTTTCATTGGATTTTAAAGGTAATAATCTTTAATTCTCTGTCCACCTTGGTTTATATTATTAAAAGACTTAGCAAAGTTGTTCTTTTTAAATAACAGTATAGCCACTGCTTCTTGCAATATAGATTTCTCATTAGAGTGAAATTCTACGGTTTTTTTTTAAGTCAAAATAAACATTCAAGAACCCATATAAAATCCACCATTTTACCTGCATATGTTTTAAGTTAGGAAAAATGTATACTGACATTTTAAAAAATTAAGAGATGATTGGTCAGCAGTATCAAGAAGCTTAACACAGCATTAATTTTTTTCTACTTATAGACTTTTATACATAATAAGCAGACTAATTTTTAGAACTTCAACTATGTCTCTATGCTTCTGAATTCTGAATGCACCATCCATATATATGCATGGGATTTCAGGGATAAAAACTAGTAATCAAAAGGAAGTAAATACCATCATAACAATACTGAATGGGCTGAGAGGTATTTTAGCAAAGATCCACTGCAGCTGGGGTCTCGGTCACCTCCGTCCTCCCAGTGTGTATTTAGCACAGTGCCTTGAATATAGTGGATGCTGGTTGAATGCACTGTAGTTGCTATGGCACTACAGAGCTTTGAGGGAAAACAGAGGCAGCTTTGGTGTAATTTAACCACATGAATTTTATTTATTAACATGTATTAATTTTGTTAAAGGTGATTAATTTGACAAATTTAGTATATTTTTATCATCCAAATAGAAGATTTTGAAAGAACATTTCTACATAAACTATAATGGAATCAGTAATTAATGTTGTAGTAGGTGCTCAATAAATGTTGATCAACGAAGGGCCTACCAAAACTAATTAATAAACAAACAACTTTTATCTCTTTTATTACTACTAGATCAATTTATTTATTTATTTATTTTTTTTAATCCTCATCCGAGGACATTTTTCCATTTTTTGTACAGACAGAGTGGGAGGGAGAGAGAGGAAGAGAGAGAGAGGGAAACATCGATGTGAAAGGGACACATCGAGTGGCTGCCACCCGCACGACCAACCAGGGCCGGGGACAAACTGCAACCGAGGTACGCGCCCTTAGCGGGAACCGAACCCGGGCCTCTCTGGACCGCAGGCGGACACTCTAACCGCTGAGCCAAACCGGCCAGGGCACTACTAGATCAATTTAAAAAATCTAGAACATAAAACCTAAATGCCAAAGCAGGAAAATATGAAATGCAGTTAAAACAAATCATTGGGAAATGATTATTTATTAACATGTCAGAAATGGTCAGAAATGAGTCAAACCATATCAAAGACTAGTTTTACTTACATTGTAACTGAACAGTCCTTGAGTTTAGACAAATGATAGAATAAAACTTGGGAAATTATTTTCTAATAATTTTTGGTTGTTGAGAAACATATATACATTAATTGAACAGACCATACGAGTCTTACTATGTGAAGGGAAAAATCTTTCCTAACAGCTTTACCATTGTACAGACTTTGAGTTAAGTGGAGTCTCATTAGGTTTAGGGCTTGAAGCTAGAGGCAAGCAACAGCATATACTGGAAGAGGCAGCACCAGAGTGGTAATGAGATGGGTGAAGAGTTGTTAGATGAAAATAATAAGGAAAGAATGGAACTGAAAAAAAAAACAGCTGGCTGGTTATAGGTGAATGTCCACAAGGCTGTGTGAACGCCCACCAGCCATTCACACGTACTTAGGCCTGGCCGTCAAAACACCGAAGTACTTCACTTCTCATCAATGGTTCAGCAATGATGACATTCACAACTAGCCCAAGATCATGTAAGGCAGATTTCCCTTTGGTTTTTCTCCCACCTCGTGTATAATTATACCAAAGAGGTAAGTGCCAAAATACCAAACTTCATAAAAAGTGTGAAATGAAGTAAGCATCAACAGGCGGTCTCAGCTGTTCCTACAGTTGTGAATTTTTAGGTTCAGATTCTGGATTAGTTTTTCAAGAGACTGTCCCAGCCTGGGAATTAGAGAGCACTAGTGCTCACCATCACAATCCCCTCCCTGCATGATGCTGCCGCCCTTCTTCACATCCCAATATGACCTCTTAAAATGCCTGTCTGCATCATAATCATTTCAAAACATGTTTATAAACAGCTACTGAGACAAACCTCTGAACAGCAGCTTCTATAAATTCCCTATTATAAAGCACGTTTGTTATCCTCAGTAGCTGTTTTAACAAATGTACCCATTACTTTCTTGGTTACAGACAAAGTCACTGTCCCAGTGACTGCCTCAACTCTCCTCTTAGAACTGTCACCACACACCAAATAGCAGCATCAAATCTGCCGTTCGCCTGGGCACAGGGCCCACTTACTTGTTACTGCAATGTTGATCTCTCCCGTTCTAGGAGTGAGCTCTCCGTCCTGAGGAAGAGGCGAGATCCCCGAAGTTCGAAGTGACTCAAGGCCAAGGGAGTTGTCGTTGACGAGGTCACCTAGGGCTGATCTTCGGTTAACTGCCTGGGTTCTGGTGAGCCTCTCCATATCAAATGCTACATTATCAGTGCATGGCAAATTTGGCTGCAAAATATTTCCAGATTAAAAGCACTTGTAAGAATAACAATTTCTAAAGGTATGACACTGTGTTGAAAAGACTTAACCATGCAAAGGCACATGCCTGGGTTGCAGGTTTGATCCCTGACCCTGATCAGGGCCATGCGGGAGTCAACCAATCGATGTGTCTCTCTCACATTGATGTTTCTCTCTTTCTCTCCCTCGTCTTCCGCTCTACCTGAAAATTAATGGAAAAATATCCTCAAGTGAGGATTAACAAACCTAAACATCTAATCCTGACGGAGAGTATTACCGAGCTGCCTTGGGGCCAAAGTTTACCAAGTGAAAAGTGGAAATGCAAGTCTTCTGTTTAACACTATGGATATTTAGTTTCCCTAGCAACCTTCATTCTTTTAGCAAATAGCAGATAACATACTAGAAGCAGAGTTGGGAATGGTGGCTGACAGAAGCTTATGTACAGAGAAGTGAGAGCCTAACCAAAATCAACACAAATGGCTTCCTTGGCAAAATAATTTTGTTCTGTTATCACCCCAAAGCCCAATTAAAAAATAATTACAGCCCAGTGTAATAACTGGTGCTTATAATTAGTTAGGTTTATTATGTTTTTTTTTTATATATAAGGAACCATGGTAGCTTGTAATATGTCTTAGAAGCGTTTTCTTTAAAAAAGAAAGGAAAAAAGTATTAGCAGTTCAAAGAACAGGATTTAAAAAACAAAATAACCAAGAAGGCTAGAGGCAACAAAAGAGGCTAAGTTAATATTTTCCAAAGTGTCTTCTACAGTCTTTCTGGCAGCAGCTCTATGTTAAACCCCACAAATGGGGGTGATTTTGTCCCTCAAGGGACATTTGGCAATGTCTGGAGACATTTTATTGTGTGGTCAGCTAGTCATGCTACTAGCATTTAGCAGAGGCCAGGGACACTGCTAGTGCTCGTGGTGCTGAGGTGGTGAAACTCCGTTAAACTACAATGTCAGTGATCTCTGAAGACATGATAAATGGCGCAGGAACATCCATTTTAGGACTGCACTTAAACTGTCACGTAAGGGCATATTTCAAACAGGAATACTTAGATCTTCTTTAGGTTGCTGATCTAAAATGGGGAATTCATCTGTTGGGTCAAACTAAACTTTTTGCTCCATAAGATTATTCATTCACTCTTTTTTTGAGACCAGAAAGTGTTTTTATTATTTTTTTGGGGGGGAGGGGGGTCTTAAAAATCAATCCTGGATATATACTTCTCTCAAGGAAGAAATTATAATTAGAAAGTCTGAGGTCCTCGGTTGGTCAGTGCTGATTCACCTGGCCAGAGCTAAAGTGTTCTTTGTGCCCTTACAAAGCCACTGCCAAGGGTCAAGGTTTGCCCAGGGCTGCCACTGCCCACCTCCAACTGCTTGCCACTTACCAAAGCCCAGGAGAGAAAAGCCAAATTCAAGAGGAAGAAACATAATGATGACATAGTTTTGTATTATGCTGAATGCAGGAAAAATTGTTACTGGAATGGAGCTAAAAATCTATATTCTATTCCTTAAAAAAAAAAAGAAAAAAGATAATTGGGCCCTGGCCGGTTTGGCTCGCGGTTAGAGTGTTGGCCTGCGGTCCAGAGAGACCTGGGTTCGGTTCCCGATAAGGGCACTTGGTTGCAGTTGTCCCTGGTCCTGGTTGGGTCGTGCGGGTGGCAGCCACGTGATGCGTCTCTTTCACGTCGATGTTTCTCTCTCTCTCTCTCCCTCCCACTCTATCTGAACAAAAAATGGAAAAATGTCCTCGGGTAAGGATAAAAAAAGATAATTGGAATGAAGGAGATTTACATCCCTGTCCCTACCTCAGTTCTTCACCACACACATACCACCCAACAGAGGCACCCTCTGGAGGACCAGCACAGTTCTTCCCTTTCGCTTCTGGGAGTTTCCTGAGTTGGGCTGGAAGCAAGGGCCTGTTGGACTAACCAGGCTATATGGCAAAGAAAGCCGGTGTCTTCTCTAAGAGGCAACCATCCACTTGTGCTGTTCTGTTATACTTAGAGATAATACTACACAAAACAGGCAACATACCACAATTCCCAGGGCCTTCAAAATATTAAGTTTGCACATAGGACAGGTACAATGTTCACTAAGCCAGGGATCCACGCAGGATTTGTGGAAAACATGCCTATAAAAAAATGGAGAATTATATTAGAAATTATATAGTGAAAAACTACTAGGTCAAAGTGCAAAGAAATTGTATTAATGTATAGCTGACAGAAAATCTCTGGAACCCAATCTTATATATTGATAAGAATGTAAGAACTGACAAGTAGTATTTGGGTGTTTGGTCTTTTTATTCCACCAAATTCCAAAAAATATTTGAAAAAACAGGAAATTAATTAAGAATGAAAACAATGAATTATACCTTACATAAATCAGTTGTATCTTCTATAATAAAGCAGAAAAATAAAATTGCAAAAACATATTAAACAAGGGTTAAATAAGAGTTCTTTGTATAATTAAATTTAATTAGTTTCATGGAACTCTTTAAGTGTCATTTAAAACACTACTTAAAAAGGCTTCTAAGCAACCTATGCTAAATGTCTGTATAAATTACAGGGTAGTTGGGACTATTTTTAGGGATGAACTACATTTTGGAATCAGATAACACTTAACTGGCAGTTTTCAGCTGACATGTTAAAGGGAGAGAGAGGAGAGGTGATTCTCTCTTATTCAGGAGAGTAGAAATTCACAACCTTGTGATTAGAAATAAGTCAGCCATGGAGGATTTTACACTCCTAGAAAAGGAACTTGTGCCCTTTGGAAGGGAGAAAAGGCATTGAGGGAGCTGCTCCAGTATCCCTCATAGCATCTCTAAGAGGTTGAGATGAAGGCATGGGGGGTGGGGTGGGGGGGTGGGGAGCTGGAGTTCTGGCCACATTGGGAAAGGGGCAGGCACCAAAACATTCCAGGTGCCTTTGGAGGAACTGGCATTTGAGTCTTGGGATAAGATGAAAGAAATTTTGAGAAAGATGCCAAATTGAACCATGATTATGTCTTTAAAACTTTGTTAATTTATATCTAGCTTATAAAGTTATATACAGCTGTTTAAAAATGCAGTTTTGATTTTAAAAAGAGCTATAAAAAACTCACTGTTTCAATTAGGATTTGAAAGAAATATTTGTGCGGACAGCTTCAGCCTGAACAATACACACCTGCCTACATATCACCATTCGGTGGCCTTGCATCCATTTCTTTGGGGGGTAAGAATAAAGATCTTGAGGCAGAATTTATCAATCTAATCTGAAACCTGCAGAGAATGCACTCAACCAGAACCCAATCATCCCTGAAAGCTTTTATTTAAATCTGAAGGTTTTTACTTAAGAGGTGGAAGTCACCAAATAGTAGTTGAGACCTAAATACATGTGGTATACATAAGGCATTGTCATGTTTATTCCTTGTTCCTCGTATCCCAGTCTGAGTGCTCCCAGAGGGAGATGAAAGCTCCTTACCACAGGGCATCACTGAGTGTGTGCTCAGATCTGGGACTACCCCTGGTAGCTGTCAACTGTGCCCAGCTGGCTGTAGTCTAATAAAGACCAGAACTAGGCTTTCAATCCTTTTTGAGGATATAGACCCCTTTAGGTTTGACATAAATGACAGATCCTCCTCCTACATTGGTGCATCTACCTAATATCTGGCATAGGTTCCGGGGAGGACCATGGACGCTGAGGGTTTGGTCAGTGTTGGGTGGGGTGTGTGGCTAGGAAGGTGCTCTAGGCCAGTTCTATGTAGGGTGGACAATGGATTTTGGCTGACTGACAGGTGACCTCTCATGGGCTGCTTCGGTCCAGGGATGGTGAGGCAGCTTACTTTGAGCAGATGTTTGTGGAGACCTCAGTTTATACACTCAGCAGTGGCCTGGGATGGGAGGAGGAGTAGACAATGGTTTGGCTTTTGCTCTCCCACTCTCACCAGGATTTTTGCTTTCTCCTTTCTATGTCCTGCCTTTCTTTTCTATTTCTGGTTATTCAGAAAGAACAAAATGGCATACTCCCATATTTAATTTTTAAAGCTGCAACAGTTGAGTGTTCCCTGCTTATCTCTTCCTTTAAATGTTAAAGATTTTTCTTATATTGGGGTTGTTTCCTTGTAGATTTGTGAATTTAACAGAATGTATTGGGCCCTCTGCTATGGGGCACCCTAATGAAGGACAGCAAAAACTAACTGGTTCTCAAGGGACAAATTGAGAAAGCCTCCCTTCCTTAGATAACTCAAAATACAGAAGAGATATTTTCTTAAAAAAAAAGCCCAACCTTTTCCTTTTGACTGTCTGTCTGCCCATGGCTCTTCTAGCCCCAATCCTCACTCTAGTCATCTAGCTGCCCCTCCCTCCCCCTCACCTGACCCAGAGATTGTCAGTCTGATCCCCACAATACACCCCTCTCTTCTGAAAACAAAACCCAGCAACTTTCTTCTTCACCTGCTGGCCCTTCTGACACAAGCCCATTACTCTCCTTCGTGTCACTGATGGTATCTTGGTGAACAACTGCCCTGTACTTGTTTCTTCTTTTCTTCATCAGCCATTCTCTTCGCTCTCTACCTTCTAGCTCCTTGGCTCTACTGTGGCCATACCCTTCCTCCTAGGCAAAGACCTGCTACTATAAATGTCTGACTTGGACAGATGCCTTTTCTGACTCCTAGCTGTTTCCTCTGGAAGCTGGGGGTGGTTAGTGGGGGAGGCTGTTTGAAGCAGTAAGTGAAAAACTGTATACATGGAATACTTAGAGCAGCACCAAGGACGTGAAAATGAAAGGTGTTATTAAACATACATTCAGGAAAAGTAACATTAATGTTTCACAGTATCACAATAGAATGGTTAGAGCACTTGAGCATGCCTGGCACCAGAGTGATCTCTTGCTAGTTTGCGGGTGGCCACAGGCATCCAGACACCTCAGAGGGCAACACCTGGGGCCAGTCAGACCTTGCAAAGAAGGCCCTTGCCACTGTTCTAAAAGACTTGATAAAATAATAAAACAATAAAAACACACACAAAAGCAGAAAAGGGCCCTACGTATTTAGGGCTGAATGGTGTAGTGGGATAGAAAGCAGGAGTGTGTTCAGGACAGGAAAATGTGAAAAGGACAAGCAGATCAGAGCTTTAACAAAGTCCTTTATTCCTGTAAGAAATACTTTATGATACAGAATGTGAAATGTATGGCACATAAAAGGAACAAAACCAATAATACTGAAATACAGTGCCTCCCAGCCTTTCCTACTTCCCACATGCTACTAACTAGAGTGAGCAGAACAATGCTGGGGTAGGGTGAGGAATCTATAGTGAAGGTGAGTTGTTTTCACAGCTCTGCAGCTTCCTGGTGCCGTGCAAGAACCTGGCAAATATAAAAGGATCCAGGATTATTCAAGGTCAGAGACAAGCACTCTTTCCCCCAGCTGGGACTGGCAGCAGACACTGTTTTAAAGAGGCCCTCCCTCTGAGGTGGGGGCAGCACAGTGACATGTCAGCCAGCAGCCAGATGACTGACCCATTTTAGCTCTTAAAGTGGTATCTTAGATATATGTTTATCCACAGTGCAGCACTCTGCTTACGAAAGGCATTTTTATCTACTAAAAAATGTGGCTGACCTTTAGATAAAAGAGGTATAAGGTGACAGTTTTTGAGTTTCTAAGACCTGCTGGCTAACATACAAAGGATGATCAACTGTAATCAACTGACACAAGCAGGAGGTCCCAAAGCAACACCAACTACCATCTGCCCACAGCACATTAATGTGACAGAAGATTGAAAGTAAAGGCCATGTAACAAAAGCCAGCGATCCAGGAGAGTGTGCTATTTATAGACAGAAAGTTAGTTCAGGCTCCAGATAGGCTTGTTAAAATCAGTGACAGACAGACAGACACAAAAGCACCTGGGCTTTTCTTCTCCCCTTACTCAGGAGAAGAAGGGACAGTGAATACAGATCCCTTCCGAAGTCTGGCTCTGAGTATGAAAGAAGTTGTAGGGTGGTATTTGGAGATGGGTTTGGGAGCTATGAGAATTGGAATAGGAAAGGCCTGAAAGCTGATGATCAGACAGAAGGAATAAAACTGGAGGGAGCAAAGAGCAGGTACCTTGGGAAGGGAGGGGTTGGTACAAAGAGGCCCTTCAGAAAAAAGGATGAGGGAAAGCTTTGAGGGTGGGTGTGAAGGCAGCTGCTGGTGAAGGCTTGGGTAAGGAAGCAGAGTTTCAACTGTCTGATAGCCATTGTTTTCTCTTTGAAGTTGATGGTGAAGGTATTTGCTGACAGTGAGGAATAAAGGAATGAGTGAAGGTGTTTAAGGAGAACAAATATACCTGAAAGTGCTACTATGAGGACCAGGGAGAGCCAGCCAGGGAAAGAGAAAGGCTCTGTAGCACCGCTGGGAGGCAAGAGAAACCAGAGCTGCCTGGCAACAAGAGTAAAAGGAAGAAGCAGCAGAATCACACCTCTACCCAGTGTCAAAGACCTACAGACCCAAGAGGAAGGGCAGGGTATCCAGGCAGAGGGAACAAAGTATTAGCGACACAAGGCACGAGTTAATTTGAAGGTACCTGAGAAGAATATATCGGAAAGAAGAGGCTTGGAGAAGATCTGGAGTAAAGATAAGTACTTGTGTGCAGCCATCTTCTAGGTCAGCGGTTCTCTACTAGAGACATCTGGAATTGTTATAGCTGTGCGTGTGTGTGTGTGTGCTCACGTGCGTGCTACTGGCATCCACTGGCTGGAGCCAGGGATCCTGCTTAATATATCCTGCAGTGCACAATACAGTCCCCCCATCCCCATGCCCAACAAAGACCCATCTGGTCCCAAACATCTACAGTGCCATGGCTGAGAAATCCCATTCCAGGTCAGAAGTTGTCAAATTGGTTCCCACAGAATTGTTGCTCAATGCACAAAGTTATTTTTTTTATTATACCTCAGAATCATGCCACTGTTACCATTTTAGTGAGGTGACATGTTTTGCTGGGCAGGGTGTGCTACATAGTTTAGAAAAAGCTACAACTTATTGAGACTTAAGATGTAAGTGTAACAAACAACCTGTTCCAAAGTAAAAGGGTAACTTTGACACAAAGGCAGGGCAGGAATGAGTGGTGCCATAACTATGGGTATAAGAAATGCCATGAAGTTTGCCAAAATTCTGATACTCAAAAGCAGACCACAGCCCTGGCCGGTGTGGCTCAGTAGTTACAGTATCGGCCCACATGCCCGAAAAGTCATGGGTTCGATTCAAGGTCAAAGGCATGTACCTGGGTTGCAGATTCGATACACAGCCCTGGTTGGGGTGCATGAGGGAGGCAGCTAATCAATGTCTCTGTTACATCGATGTTTCTCTCTCTCCCCATTCCCCCTTCCACTCTCTCTAAAAATTAATGGAAAAAATATCCTTGGGTGAGGATAACAACAAAAAGAGCAGACCACAAACACAGAGGTTGAGATGAGTCTTTGGGAGGCAGGTGACCATAAAAACAGCTAAGACCACCAGAGCTCTGGATACCCAAGGAGGGTGTGACCCTGCAGCATCAGAACCACCTGGGTACTTATTAAATACAAACATGCCTGGCTCCACTTGAGCTGTGTTCCTGAAAGTTCCTCACTGAGTCTGATACAGAGTCAGGGTTCAAAAGCATTGGACTAAATTAAGAAAAAAGAGAACTAACAATGAAATCCTTTAAGTAACCATTTACTCAGCCAGTTATGCTCTGTTTATCTTTTGTTCCACCCGGGATATTAACTTGAAATTGCTTTGGGATGGTTACCACAAACTTACCCCTTGGCAACAAATGTTCTTGTTTTTCTGCTTCTTGCCCTATATATTGTGTGGATCTCCCCAGAATAAACAAGACTTGATCAGAAAAAAAAAAAAAAAAAAAAAAGAAATTTTGGAAAAGCCAATGCTCAAAGGATGGAGAGAATGGGGAACAAACCTCCCATAATAACATATTTCCAGCTGAGACCCCTGAGGAAGACACTCAGGTTAGTGATAACTGGTTTTGGAGGCCTTTGTTTATAGGTTCTGGACCCTGAACTCAAATAGGAAGACAAAGTATTTGGAAAGAGTTGGCTTCTCCCTGGTCATTCTGGTGTCAAAAAAAATCTGTGCAGGTAAAAATAGGTATTTAACAAAACACACACTGATTTTTAAAAAAGCAAGCAACAGCTGCCCTGGCCAGTGTTGCTCAGTGGTTAGAGCACTGGCCCACACACTAAAGGGTAGCAGGATCAATCCCCAGGCCCAATTGGGGCATGTGCAGGAGGCAGCTGATCAACATGTCTCTCTCATATTGATGTTTTTTTTTTTCTTTCTCTCCCTCTTCCCTCCCTCCCTTCCACTCTCTCTAAAAAAAAAAAAAAAAAAAAAAAAAAAAAAAAAAAAATCAATGGAAAATATGTCCTAGAGTAAGGATTAAAAAATAATAATAATAAGAAGAAAAAGTAGGTAACAGCGGACCATGCTTTGTGATGTATCCTGCTGACCTTTACCAAGTTGTATTTGTATGTGTGTTTCCTTTGGTCTCATGCTTTAGACTAAATGAATACACAGCTGGTAATGGTTAAGTTAGTTTCCTATAGAACAGCTTACATTTATTTTTATAGATTTACTTTTATATGTAGACTAGTTATTCTTAAGTTCCATGATTTTTTAACACGCAGATCTTTCTAGGCTCAAAATAAATCACTTTGTGAATACGTAAAATAATACTAGTAGGCTCATGGAGACAACTGCTACTAATTATTTTATTTATTCATGTCCTACATTATTAGAGGCTCAGAGTTGTGGGGATGTGTTGTAAAGCACAGGGAGAAGGAAGAGAAAAAATCTTTGATTTTAGGCTTCTCAATAGGTGCTTTCCTACTTTTCTAATCAATACTTGGAACTGTATATTTTAATGTTTCACATTCCCTAGCATGGGGTAGCACCAAGGTAGGAATTGACAGGCTAATACAGAAAACAAACTCTTTTTAGGGCGCCAAAGTACAGGTGAACACCCTCCTTTTGGAGGGAAGGTATGGGCCCTATGTAAGGAGCGCTAGCATTACAGCAAACTTTTATATCATTTCTGAACAATTTGGCCTTGGCATGTACTGTTGGCTTCATGACCCTTCAGTGTACATGGGGAGAAAACATTTGACCCTCTTACAGGAGACAGGAAATGTGAACTGCACAGAGCAGAGCACTTGACCTGGAGATGGCATGTGGCACCTATCTACCCTCCCATTCTCCATAACCTAGGTTCAGAAAAGGACAACCCAAGTCCCTATAGTTTTGGCACCCTGCCCACATGAGCACTGCTGAGACTTCATTAGAAGGCCTAGGGATGTATTCTGATTCAAGGAGAAAGGGAATGGTGGCTAGTTTTGAAATCCATGGATGTAATAGAATTAAATATTTTTTACCTTAATGCTCTTTAGACTATTGGAAGTGGCCAGAGGTTGTGTCCCCATTTTTCTCATAACTAGAGAGAAAGGCTTGTGCAGTCAGTTCTAGCTGGGGGAGCATGCTCACCACTAACTGCAGCTCCCACTATGTACAGTGTGCAGCGGGGCCTCGGCCTGTCGGAAAAGCCCTGGGTAAGGTAGCTCTGAAAAGCGGTAGGCATCACCACTCTGAGAGGGAGACATATAAACCATACTACTAGTGCTCTTTTTTAAACAAAGAAAGTTGACGTACTTGCAGGGGAGAATCCGGACAACATCATTCTGCTTATAGCTCTCTATGCAGACGGCACAGTGATCAAAGTCTGGGTCTGTTTCCTGAAATGCAAAGCACAGGAACCAAAGTCACACACTAAAGCTAAGTGCATAAATGGAGGAGCAACAATCTAGATAAGAATATTCCTGTGCCAACTACAGGAAATAAGTGATTATGAAGTGAAAGGTTATAAAAAAAATTTGATGTTTCCATTTGCTTAACTATATCAACTCAATTATATCTAAACCAATCTATTTTATCTTTAAACTATGCTGAAACAATTAATACTAATCCTGTTTGTATAACATCTTAGAAGTCAGAATTCTAATTTTTTCCCCTACAACACATCATCTTTACATTGTATTGTGTTCACCATCTCAAGTCAAGTCTCTGTCTATCACCATTTTCCCCCCATACCCTCCTCTACTTCCTTTCCACACCTAAGAATTCTTCTACTTTGTTTCAAGATTCAAATCAGCTGTCAGCCTGGACCATGTCCATATTCTCTTCCCCACTCCTGCTGCATCACTATTCTGGTCTAGTACATGTCACTGCATACCTCCACATCTGGGTGCCCACCAACAGTCACATGTGGTTAAGTACAGCAAGAAAAGATGATGAGCCCCATAAGACTGTTATCTAGAAAACTGCCTCAAGGATGGATGGTCATAGGCTTGGGGTAGAAAACTCATGGGCTCAGCTTGGTAGTAGATCTTTTATTCATTTTTTCAAGACTCAGAAAGATTCAGTCAGGCATTTGGTCATCCAGAGTAACTGATTTCCTTCATTCTCTGGTTTGGGGATGGATTTCCCTGAATTGCCATTAAACAGAGCATCCCCAGGAACTTAAGCCAGGAAAGGTGACACTACTTGTCATGCCACTGCCACCTGGACTGAACTCTGGGTCAACTCTTGACAGGTCTAATAGATAAACACTTAGAAGAGGTGTTGGTTTTAATTAGGAAAGATTATTTTGTGCTAGCCTGAGGGACAAAGCAGGATGAAATTAATGTGGCACATGAAGACCACCAGGCCAAGAGAGTGTTACACTGTCACTGCTCCTCAGGTTCAGTGCAGCTGTTGTGATGCTGCTTATATATTCTGCAACGGTTTTTACTTTTTTCTTTCCTGAGTGTACAGTACAGATTACTGATAATGTCTCCACATTCAGGAGCTGTGTCATGAAAAATCAGTCGTGGTGGTATTAAGACAGTGGGATTAAAAATGAGTCAAGTCAATAAAGTGGTAAAACTGTGTTTGGAGAATCAGCTGATATGATCCTTCCAGAGCTCTCTGTTAAAACATTATAGAGTTGGGTGTTGAGCAGAAAACAATTTTGGTTTTGTTTCCAGAGATGCAATTTGTTTTTCATTCTAGATAACTTGATTATATGAAATGTAGGATCTAATGTTTTGTTGTTGTTGTTGTTAATCCTCACCTGGATATTTTTATATTGATTTTTTTTTTTTTTTAGTTAAAGTGGAAGAAAGGGGGGTGGGGAGGAGAGAGAGAGAGAGAGAGAGAGAGAGAGAGAGATGTGAAAGAGACATATCAATTGGTTGCCTCCTGCATAACTCCAATGGGGGCTGGGGTTCAGAGCCACAACCCACATATGTGTCCTTGACCAGGAATCAAACTCGTAACCTTTTGGTCCGCAAGCTGATGCTCTAACCATTGAGAAACTGGCCAGGGCAATGTAGGGTCTAATTCTAAGTTGCTGTTTTGGTCTCACAAAACAGAAGGAGGACTCTAACATGACTTGAGATTTGACTGGGGAACTGTGGTGAGCAGTCTCAGCCACAGCCTGTGTCTCTGCCTCTCTGATCCAGTCCCCCTATGCTATCAGACCCAACCCTAATTCACTGTGCCCTTCTTGCCAAATGCTGAGCCCACATTAAAATCCCTGTTAACCAACACTCTCTTGAAATGTGGATCTCCAGTTTTCCATTTAACTGATAACAAAATAAAACACAAAGAAACCATAGGAAAGTCTGAGAAAGCATAGCAAAAAAGTTACAAGAGAAAGACAGTTAGTTACTTACAAGGGAACTCCCATAAGAATCTCAGCTGATTTCTCAACTGAAACACTTCCAGTCAGAAGGGACTGGCATGAAATATTCAAAGTGATGAAAGGAAAGGACCTACAAGACTACTTTACCCAGCAAGGCAAGCATTTAAAATTGAAGGAGATATAAAAAGCTTTCTAGACAAGAAAAAGCAAAAGGAGTTTGTTACCACTAAACCAGAATTACAATATATGTTAAAGAGTCTGCTTTAAGGAAAAGAAGAAAAAAACAGAAGAACAAAGTTAAAAGAATAAAATGGCAATCAATAAGTACCTACCAACAATCACTTTAAATGTAAATGGTTAAATGCTCCAAACAAAAAACATAGGGGAGTTGAATGGATAAGAAAACAAGACCCATTTATATGTTGTCTACAAGAGACTCACATCAGAACAAAAGATAACATATAGACTAAAAGTAAAGAGATGGAAAAAATGCATTTCATGCATATGAAAGAGGAAAGAAAAGCTGGAGAAGCAGTATTTATATCTGACAAAACAGATTTTAAAGCAAAGCCTATAGTAAGAGACAAAGAAGGACACTACATAATGATAACAGGAGTAATCCAACATGAGGATAGAACCCTTATAAACATTTATGCACTCAACATAGCAGCACCTAAAGGGAGAGATTGACAGTAATATAGTCATAGTAAAAGACTTCAATACCTCATTGACATCAATGGATAGTTCTTCCAGACAATCAACAAGGAAATGGTGGCCTTGAATGACCCACTAGATTATACTGATGTAATTGACACTTACAGATCATTTCACTCCAAAGCAGCAGAATATACATTCATTTCAAGTGCACATGGAACATTTCTTAGGATAGATTACATGTTAGGGCACACAACAAGTATCTTCTCTGACCATAATGGCATGAAACTAGAAATAAATCATAAGAGAAAAACATACAAAGACACGGAGGCTAAATAACATGTTACTAAAGAATAAATGGGTTAACAATGAGATGAAGAATGAAATAAAAAGATATCTTTAAACAAAGAAAAATAAAAACACAATTCAAAATCCATGGGACACTGTGAAAGCAGCCCTGAGAGGGAAATTCATAGCATTACAGACCTATTTCAAGAAACAGGAAAAATCTTGCCCTAGCTGGTGTGGCTCAGTTGGCTGAGAATGGTTCCGTGAACTAAGAGCTGCTGATCTGATTCCCAGTCAGGGCACAAGTGCAGACTGTAGACTCGATTTCCAGTAGGGGGTGTGCAGGAGGCAGCTGATTGATGTTTCTCCTTCTCCCTCTCCAAAATCAATAAAAACATTTAAAAAAGGAAAAATAGCAAACAAACTAACTTTAGACATAAAGGAACTTGAAAAAGAACAACAAACAAAACCCAAAGTCAGTAAAATGAAGGAAATAATAAAGATCAGAGCAGTAATATATGAAACAGCGCCGAAAAAACAATACAAAAGACCAATAAGAGCAAGAGTTGGTTCTTGAAAAAGATAAACAAGGGTGACAAACCTTAAAGCAGACTCATAAAAAAAAAAAAAAAAAAAAAGGAGAGAGGACTCAAATAAATAAAATTAGAAATGTAAGAGAAGCGACAAGTGACACCATAGAAATACAAAGGATTTTAAGAAAATATTATAAACAACCATATGCTGACAAACTGGACAATCTGGGCAAAATGAATAAGTTCCTAGAAACATATGATCTTCTAAAACTGAATCAGGAGGAATCAGAGACTATGAATACATAGATTACAACTAATGAAACTGAAGCAGTAATAAAAAACTCCCAACAAAAGTCCTGGACCTGAAAGTTTCACAGGTGAATTTTACCAAACATTCAAAGAACTAACACATATTCCCTGCAAACTATTCCAAAAAACTGAAGAGGAGGGAAGACTCTTAAGCTCATTATACAAAGCCAGCATTATCCTAATTCCAAAACCAGATAAAGACACTACAAAAAATTTTTTTACAGGCTAATATCCATGATGAATGAATGCAGATGCTAAAATCCTGAACAAAAAAATTAGCAAACTGGATCCAGCAATATTTTACAAAGATTATTCACCATGATCAAGTAGGGTTTATTCTGGGGATCCAAGGTTGGTACCATATCCACAAATAAATAAATGTGATACACCACATAAACAAAATGAAGGATAACAATAACATGATCATATCAATAGATGCAGAAAAAGCATCTGATAAAACCCAACACCCATTTATAACAAAAACTCAGCAAATGGGAATAGAGGAAACATACCTCAATGTAATAAAGGTCATATATGACAAACACACAGCCAATATCACACTCAGAAGGCAAAAACTGTAAGTGTTTCCCATAAGATCAGGAACAAGACAGGGATGTCTGCTTTCACCACCTTCTCAACATAGAATTGGAAGTCCTAGACACAGCAACCAGATAAGAATAAAAAATAAAAGGCATCCAAAATGGAAAGAAAGTAAAACTGTCATTGTTTGCAGATGACATGAAATATATATATATATATATATATATAGAGAGAGAGAGAACCCTAAAGAATCCACTGCAAAAGTACTATAGCTGATAAATGGATTCAGAAATGTAGCAAGATACAAAGTAAATATCCAAATCAGTTGAATTTTTATGTACCAACAATGAACTATCAGAAAGGGAAACTAAGAAAATAATCCCATTAAAATTACTTAAAAACAACAACAACAACAACAACAAAACCCCAAAAACAAAACCTAGGAGTAAATTTAACTAAGGATATAAAAGACCTGTACTTGGAAAATTATAAGACACTGAAGAAGATACAAATAAGTGGAAGCATACACCATATTCATGGATAGGAAGAATTAACATCATTAAAATGTCCATCAAAGCAATCTATAGATTCAATGCAATTCCTATCAGGATACCAATGGCATATTTCACAGCAATCTTGAGAAAGAAGAACAGAGTTGGAGGAATCACACTACCTGATATCAAACTATACTACAGAACCAAAGTAACCAAATCAACGGGTGCTGGTA